CACACACACACACAAAGCCACAACCCAATTCTTCCTCTATAAAAATTTAAAGTCACATTAATTACCAATCAGGCATATTTCCTAATTTTGCATCTCTTCATGGACTAATACTCTCCTCAGAATCGAAACAGTAATATATAAAGGGAAACATGATAAATAATTTCTTTTTGTTCTGCCTTTCAGGACAAGTCCTTGCTCATTAGGGCTTTCCACTGCCAAGGTTTCATGACTCTACCCAAAGACAGGCCTGATGCCCTCTCCGACAACTGCCCAAGAATCAGGAAAGGAGAGACACAGAAGAAAAAAATCACTGTTAGCAGAAAGACTCTCATGGAGCCGGTGCCCTGGCTGGATTTTATCTTTATGGCTCTGTGTGAGTGTGTGCACATGCACGTGTGTGTGTGTGTGTGTTGGAACACATTTTCACTTTTTCCTGAGATGACTTGTACCTCTGTTCTATCGTATATTAAGTGTTTTGATACAGCAAATCACTTCTCTGGATAATCAGGTGAACTTATTTGGTTAAATAACCTAATATGCTTACACTTGAGATGAAACACTATGTTTAAAGAAGCTGCACAAAGGCTCATTGTTCCAGAAAACATGGTATCCTAACTAGATGAATTAGGTCTGCGCAGTTAAAATTGCATGGAGAACCCTCTGAGCTGCCAGTAATCTATTCTTGATGTTTTTCTATCATTTTTTCTTACATTTTTATCTCTTTTCTACAACAGCCTACAGAAACCTAAATTTTCTTGCTCCCACCAGAAGGGAAGTCATTTGTTTCCTAGCAAAAACTGATTTTATGTGCAATTTCTATCATGAAACTTTAAAATGTGCTATGTTCCTTCATGAAGTACAATCAGGCTACAATTTACACTATTAGTGACCTATTAGTCACACCTACCTACATCCTTCCTTAAAAATAGAACCCCAGTATTGTTTGGAATCACAGGATGACCAGTAAAATATTTATCTTCCCCGAGTCCTTTGCAGATTGGAGTGACCTTGGGGCATATTTTAGACCAAGAAGACGTAACTAAAGGTTAACTAAAAGCTTTCAAGAAAGTCTTCGTTTTCTTGAGTGTAGGAGACAGATATGACTGGCACTGTCCTTCCATCTTCTTTCCCTGGGCAAAAATGTGATGTCTAGAGCTGAAGCAGCTTCCCATAGATCATGTGGTGAAACAAAACAAAACAAAAAAACACAAAGAAATTGGCTCTGAGATCTCTGAACTATAGGACCAATGCTGACAAGCCCCTTCATTACCTTCAGGCATTTATATTTATGAAAAAAAAAAGTTGAAACCCTTTGTGTAAGTCATTAGTTATTCTGATTGGTATTCTATTCATACTCTGGTACTTTGTACTAGCTCCATAGTTCAAAGATTCTGGGACAATCCCTCAGAGGCCGCTAGGACAAGGTAATGCCTAGGCTAGCAAAAGGGACCCCTGTGTCTTACTGGT